CCATTGCCGCGATGTTGACTTTGTAACCACACCTTGTTGTTTCCAGGCTCCACGGATATTATGCTGAGGTACCGGGCCTCGTAGCTCCAGACTCCTTTTGCAATTTTATTTTATTTTTTTTCCTTTTCCGACCGACCGATCCAAAATAAGAAAACGCATTCGACAATAAACGGGAAAAAAAGGGGATGGCCTAAGGGACCGATCTCAATACAATACATGTACAATACTGGTTTATTAGTAGCTGGTTGGGTAAATCAAACATATGGGCCTAATAGAGTTGGTTGAACAATGTAAGTCCTTGTTTCCTGAAGAATAGTTGAACCCTCTACGCTTTACTCGAGCGAGAAAAGGCATCTGGGTCCTCACAACTCCCTCTGTTAAGAGCGCCCGGATCCGCCACTGCTAGTACACAACGTTAGAGCACATGTAAATAATTAAAGTAAATACTACAGAGGCATTTTGGCTGTAGTGCGAGAGAAATGAAACCCGTTAAAAGAAAATTGAAAATTAAAAACACCTCCCCCTTAACATTTTCAAAAACAAAGTTAAACAAGCATATTGCCAACATTCACGAGTATTTCATCTGCGTTGCAATTACTAGTGACTTATTTATTACTAGTTTACTTTATTTCTAAATGTTTAGTGATTAACTGATTTATCCCGCTTACGAACTTACTTATTTTTTTCTTTTTTTGACTCCTTACTGCGCCCCCTTTAAGCTTTACTGCCAACCAACTTGTTTATATATTATTTATTGCAGTACCTATGTACTGCAAGAAGTTTGAATAAACATATTATTATTATTATTATTATTATTGTATATTATTATTATTAAATAATAATGTTTCATTTTAATATTCATAAGCATGCTGGGAAAAGGAAGGCAAGTTAATAATATTCAGTCAATTTTGACGCTTTTTAGATTGCACGTCATACTAACGACAGCTGTCCGCTGTCCATGGTTTCCTGTCCACATGCTCAGATGGGCTGCAATGCAAAGGTAATATGAAGTAATTTGAGATGGAAATATTAGTTCCGTGTGTAATAATGCAACGTATTGCCTATCGGAATCTATTTGTCAATCACGAAGTGTATGATTTATAAGGGTTTGTAACAGTAACTGGACGGACTCAGGGGCGGATCCAGGATTTTTCAA